GGGGAGAAAAAATATTTCAGAATAAAAAGTTTGGGGGAGAAAAAAGATTTGTGGAATGAATTAACCTTTCGGGGAGTCAAGAATCCCTTTATCTAAGACACTCCCCTCCAAAAAAAATACAGATACATGCCAAATTCTGGATTTTGTTTCAGAGGACTCACGGTCCCTCAAGGACCCACAGACCGTGGGTAAGAGCCATGTGCCTTACACCAACAGGCTTAAAATTGTCAATTGAAAATTACAGGGCACCGAACAGAAGCGAGAATACCCGAAAGGCATTTGAATGCTCAGTGAAATGGTCGTTTGGCAGATTGGGCAGAGCTAAGCTATGGGCTGCTAGTCTGTGACACTAGATGAGAACTAAGCCTCAGTTTTACCCATCTGTGAAATGGACACTCAGAGGGTGGGATGAGGGGATTAATCGGAGTCCTGTCTATAACGTGTTGACCATAAATGCTCTGTAAGAAGTCACTGCTGTTATTCACTATCACTCTGACTGTTGATCATTAAGGGAATACATTTAAGGCCAATTGCTCCATAGCACCTTGGAGGGAGGAGGGAGTCCCCAGATGAAGGTGCAGGGAGGGTCCCACCTAGGTCCTGGGAGGCCAGGGTTTGGGGGACACTGGCCCTTACCGTAAGCCCCCGGAAAGCCTTTTTCTCTGTGATCCGGTATAGTCCTTCTGCTGTCATGATTTTAATGTGCTTGACCTCGACGTTATACCTGGAATCGAGGGAGAAAGAGGACCACGTGGTCATTGGGCCCTGAGTCCGTGGACCGGGCCCATCCCTTGCCAAGCCCCAACCATGGGAGAAGCAATCTTGGCTTCTCCAGGGAGGGGTGACCATGGGAACCCAAAGACAGAGGCTGTCCCAGGAGAACCCCTTCCCTGGAGCCTTTGCTACTCTAATCCTTACTGTCTCCCTCTCATAGAAGAGGAATCATCTCCCCTGACTCACAGGTTGGTTGAGAAGTCAATAAGACCTTGTAAAGAAAGTGATGTTCTAGAATAGACGGAAAGAGATCTCTACTTCTGCCAATATAGACGACCACAGACTATAAAGGATATGGGAGGAGAGACCTCCCCTTGTATCACTGTATTATGGTAATACAGTGAACCTCAGAATAGAAAAAAATACAGAAGACATCCACTTCTGCCAATATGGTGGGCCAGGGCATGGGAGAAAACATCTACTTCTGTCCATAAGCAAAACTAGATAACAACAGCAACGAAAAATCCTCCTACTACGAAACCCCTTGAAATGCTGAGGAAAAAATTCTAAGCTCTCAAAAAAGTAAGGGAAATCCTCAGAAGGCAAAATTAAAGATTAAACAAAATGTGAATGTTAAGCACACACTGATGCTAGGGTCTGAGCAGGTCTGCTGATCTTGGTAACCAAGGAGCTCACACTTTGATGATCACGTGGAAACATGAAATGCATTACTGGGCTCATGTACGGTGGGGAGTTGGCACTGAGTCCTGCTCATATCCTGTAATGCTGGACTGTCAAAGAGCCACATCTGGCTGTGCGCGGTGACTTATGCCTGTAACCCCGGCACTTTGGGAGGCCAAGGTAGGAGGATTGCTTGAGGCCAGGAGTTTGAGACCAGCCTGGGCAACATAGCAAGACCCCTTCTCTATAACATAAAAAATAAATAAAAAATTAGCCAGGTGTGGTGGCACACACCTGTAGTCCCAGCTACTTGGGAGGCTGAGGCAGGAGGATCGCTTGAGCCCAGGAGTTTGAGGTTG